CATCGTGCAATTTTTCATGCAACTTGTGTCAATCTATGCCTATGGATCAGTAAATCAATTGCCTTAATTAAGTATTAATTTTCGATCAAACGAATTTTTTCTCCAGATTTTCTGGTTCGCCAGAACTTTAACCAAACAGGAGGCTGGATTTGCGTATCGTATAAGTTTTATTCGATCTAAATGTATAGTAATACAATGTGTAATAAAATATGTCTAAAATTAATAATAACAAGCGAATACAAATAATAATACTAAATGTTAATCTTAACTTACTTCTGTTCACGAATCCAAGCCTTTTACACTGTAATCTTTACCGATTAGCATTTATCAGGTTAGCGTTTCTTAGGTTAGCATTTATTTTAGGCTACAAACAATAATATCTCTGTCCCATGTGCTTGCGTGAATTATATGCGCCTAGAGATGCGTCATCTCTGGTAAGCTATCATATTTCTAAACATAATTAGATTGCTCTTAATTAAAGTATCTAAAAGTAGTGTCTTATTGCACTTTAAACATAACTCAACGAAACATTTTCTTTTCAAATGTGCATGAGAATTCGACAGTAGTGGATTTCTAAACCATGCAACAAATCATGTGGCTCCGCTCAATTGATGGCAAAGCGTAGTAATAAAAATAATCATATAATTTAATTTGATTGTGATAATCTTTCACGAACAAAATATACTAATTTTATCATGCAGTAAATTATATACTTCCTGGATGTTATTGCTATGATAATTCTGTACGATACCGTCAACTTCACCGTCAACTTCACCGTCACTTCACCGTCAACTTTGCATTTTTAGTGAGACCAGTCGTGAGCTTTGACTGTTCTACTCTCATCACACTAAACGAAGGTGAAAACTTCGTCTGTCTATGCAGAAGTGAAGATGGAAAACCTCCAGCTAATGTTACTTGGTATAAAAATGAAGTCAAGTTTACTGATGTTGGAACCGAGAAACAAACATTAAATCTGATAAATGTTAGCAGTGCAGACCGTGGAACATACAAGTGTGTGGCCACAAACTACCCCGATGAAAATTATACAGACGAAAAGTTCATCCAAGTAATAATCTACTGTAAGTATATGTTTACCTAACTCCAATAACCCAATAAACTTAGAAAAACCCCTAATGACATGAAATATATATTATATATATAGCGGAGCCGTACGGAATTAATAGTCAGTCATGCACATATATTTTTGCGAAATTTTGAAATTTATTATGACTGGTTTGAATCAGGGGCTAATGTACAGTATTGTTCTATGCCGGTTTTAGGGGCAGACTTTATTAAAATCGCTGTGTCCTCTCAATTTCATGAGTACGACAAGTTGTTTTTTTCAGTTAAACCTATGAATACAGTCATCAAGTTCTCGAAAAACCCAGTTGTGATTAATGAGACGATAACCATAACATGTACATCTGAAGGATTCCCTGAACCAATTTATACCTTAAACCATAATGGTGAGGTTGTTAGTACCGGCATGCTGTATACCATATTCCAAGTTAAGTGGAAGAATGCCGGGAGATACAAGTGCATCGCGGCTAATACATTTGGAAAGGAATCTGATTTTAAAATTTTATCCGTTACCGAAGGTGAGTTAGCAAGGACTAAAACTAGAGCGATATCTGCCCGGGAAGGAATGTTGATATATTCTGCCTTCCCGACCGATTTCTTTTGAAAACGCATTTGTACGGCTACGTTGCAGAATATATCAGTATTCCTCCCCCCCCCCCCCTCCAAGTATACATCGTCCTAGTTTCGGTCCTGGTGAGTAGGTATTTTTAGAGTTAAGATGATGTCGACGGCAAACTAAACAAAATTGCAGGCGTCGTGAGATTTTGGGATCATTTGAAATATGTTGGGATATTTATAAGAAGCTTAATTTGTCTTGTTATGAGTAGAAAATATGCGCCTAACGGACTTTATCTCATCTTTAATCCTACGACGACAGGTTTGTCTTACAGAGGCATAGGCGTTCGGGGCGAGGAGCAGCGCTTCCCCCACCCAAAAACAATTGAATTTTCTTTTATTTCATTCGGAATAGATTGACCAGTCCTATTTTAATCATAAACTTTTAAATCTATTCATTGAAAGAACGAAGACCAACAATATCAATATCAAGATCAACTTTACGCTCGTCACCAAACACAAGCGCAAAAAATCCGACCGAATGTAATAAATCAGGTACAGTATATATTATCCTGTATATGCACATGCATCAACAAATGCATTACTGTAATCATTACTTCATGACAGGACCTATTTTAGCGTGCAGTTTTGCAAACTTTACCTTTGTGCAATATTCATGATCGTCAAGTGTGCAATATTGAATACGAATGTGTGCAGTATATATACTTTTTAGATTCGAATTACAGTGAAACAAAATGGTACATCATTGTCATATCATTGGTATCAGGAATTATCATTGGAATTCTTCTTTCCTACATCGTCCCATATTCTCGTCGTAAACTTAAAAGTAGAGAACGTCAACATTCAAACCATGAACCTCCGTCACCTCAAGTTGATTTAACTTATCAAGAACTGGATCTCAAAAGAATGAATGAAGAAAACAAATACCAATCTTTGACAGGGAATGCTAAAAAAAATGACGGTGTAAATAGCGATGAGTCAAATTATACTGAGTTAAACAAAACAAGAGACGTCGAAAACAACTATCAATCTTTAAGTTGAATCTCGATGTTACTTCTTCTTTTTATATGGAGGAGAAAGTGAGGAAAAGTTTCTGCTTGAAAGAACTAATTGAGAAAGAAAATACTTCGCGGGAAAACATATTGTCAACTTTTATAAAAAAATGAGGACAACATTACTTTACACTGCATGATAGCTATTTCGACTGTATTTCAGACCATGCACAATAAGATTACCACATGCACGATTTGCACTAAATCACTATCTATTATATATACAAGGTGTCCCCAAAACTACAGGGTGTATAAACGCAATCTTAATAATTCAGATCGAGGCCAAGGGCCTACGATCTTTTGTTATTGAAAAGAAGCGAATAAATATTCGCTAATAATGAACATCTAGTTTAACATTCGTTATTAAAATATATAAACATTTAGTGGTTGCGTTTTTTATACACCCTTTATTTTTATTAACACTATTTACAATTTACAAAATATAACGCATAACAATATTTAAATTTACAACTCAAGCACCACGACCTTCGACATGTCCCATTTCTCTAGCAAATTTTAAATTTTTGTATTTAATTTTTGTAATTTTTTATCTATAAGTTGCGTTAAATCCCCGTGGACAAAAATTCGCGAACAGGTCACCGCCAGATAAAAAGCACAACCTTGAACAAAGTGCGACGTAAACTTACGTTCTGATTGGTCGATTTGTACCACGTGAGTGAATTTTATATAGCAACAACGCCACGGTAGTGCCGTTATAGGATTTATTGCACGATCAAAATGGCGGCAATAAAAAAAAAATTTGCCGAACTTAGTTAAGAAGAAATTAATGTAATTATAGATGAATCCACACCGAAAAATACTAAACGGGCAACCGGTTATGCAGAACACGAATATATGAATATCTGCCCCCGTTATTATCGATATTCCGGCGCCCCTGCAACTAAATCTGCCTATAGGCTTTTAATAATGTTGGTAGAACGAATAAGAGTTCATTAATGCCAAAATCATACGGGTGGTTACGAAATCAACCGATCGCGTAGCGCGGGTACAATTAATATGACTATCTTTAAAAGGGGAACGGGAAATGGGGGGATCGTGGGATGGGGGAATCGGGAAATAGGGGGCTCAAAGAATAGGGGATTCGGGGAACAGGAGAATCGAGGAATGGGGAATCGGGTAATGGAGGAACTCGGGAGCGGGAGAACTGGGGAGTGGGAAGAATAGGGAACAGAGGAATGGAGGAACTGCGAGGTGGGAGAACTGGGTAACGGGGGAATGGAGAGCAGGGGGATGGAGGAACTAAGGAGTAGGGGAGCAGGAGAAGAGGTACCAGGCAACCGGCGCAACGTAGAAACGGAGAACAAGAGAATGAGGGAGCCGGGAATGGGTAGTGGGTAGAAAGGAGAACTCCTCTGTGGCTCTGTTCCCCAGTTCTCCTGCTACCTAGCTCCCTCATTCCCCTGTTATCCTACTCCCCAGTTCCTTCAACGCAACACACAAAAGTAACAAAACTGTAAATACTACAATTTCAATTATTCATATGGATCTGATCATAAATATACATCTATATATGGTATTACATAAAACATATTAGAAATGAAAATTATATACACAGAACAGTTTCTTGAGCAATGTTATTCACATATAACATATGTTCCATTGCATTTTTCATTATATTTTGAATAGATATAACCATACGTTTGAAAATTTGCATGCCAACTAAATAAACACACTAGCTTATTGTCACATGATTTTAAAAGCCACACAACAATACCAGTATGCTATTTATAGTTTTAATTTTTTACCGAAAGGGATGTATTCAAAGGGATGTATGATTCCTCCCACTGCCCAGTTCCTCATTCCCCAGTTCTCCCGCTCCCGAGTTCCTCCATTACCCGATTCCATGATTCCTCGATTCCCCCATTCCTCGACTACCACATTCCCCGATTCTCCGTTCCCCCTTTTAAAGATAGCCCAATTAATATTATTCTCGTAAAGATTTAGATTAATACGATAATAATACCCTATCCAATCAAAAGAATTTAATAAGCGATTGCCGTACCACATTTGATGAGAAATCACTATTACATGCGATATTTAGCATTTTATTAGATCTTCCCCTTTTGCAAAAAAGGTTTCTAAGGGAAGCAAACACTACATAAACACTTTTTGGGGCGTGAAATATGAAAAATATCAGTGAAGATTTTAAAGGAGGTGTCAGAGAATATCAGGATATTTAAGAATATTTTCAATTTTACTGATCCAATAAGACATTTGGAATGTGAAAATGAAAGTGGAAGCACCATCATTAATCCATGGAAAATATTGTGGCAACCAGGAAGTAGTTTACAGCAACATTAATAGCCAAGAAAACATCGTTAATTGCAACGTCTTGTAGTTTAATCACTGGATTCCGTTGTAAGCATTTGTTCTATGATATAAATGATATTTTATTGTTAGCTTGCATGCAATCGGAGAGTGTTAGAGCTTTCCATGTTTGCAGGATGATCGTTCAGCAACAGATTATCTAGCTGCTCATGCAATTTCGTCAGTAACTAGCAAAATTTATAAAGTATACCTCGAATTATCAGTGGAGACTCTATCAAATCTGATTTTTATTTCCAGTCTCAATGAATACCAATAGGCCAAGTTATACAGGAGGGGGAAAGGATGGACTGAACTATATAGTTTCTGTTGAAAATTTAGTAATTGCAAATGTACCTACTCGGGTGTAAACGATCTATTTGGCAAAAATAATCAGGCATCTTACATTTTTAACTTACTGTTTTATGTTTGATTTTTTCTTCGTTTATCTCCGACTTTAATCACTGGTTTGTTCGCGCTTGACCTTCTGTCTTTCGGCATGTTTGGCTCAGAATTTAATATAATAACAGTTCATGTGTTTAGTTTAGAAGGAAATATGAGTAATTACTATAGTATATGAGTATATTTGATTTATGTACCTGCTCTTTCCCTTAGATTTCGTATTTGAATTTCATACCAGTTAATTCTGAAACAAAAAGTCTAAAAACAATATTTTATTTTTGTACAGGTTAATCTCCAGGGGTGCATGGCTGGCTTTAATTTATTTCACACAATATTTGGTCTCATTTTTGTGCTATGGCCATGCCAAGGTAAGTAAACTGAATTATTGTAATGAATGAAATGTAGATGAGGTGCCAATTTTAGCCGTGCTGCATGTCGCGATAAATTGAATATAGTGTTAACAGAAAATTAAATTTTTTTCTTGAGGATAAGGTTTGATGACTTAACAAAGATTATGTAATGAGATTATTTCTCATTTAAAATGCCAATGTCATGTTTGGGGTATAATTAGATAGTTTAGATAATTTTAGGAACTTTTGCAATATATTTTATAGTTGGAAAACTTCATCTTCATTGACTTTGAGCTTGACCATGCATGAACATGAAAAACTAGTAACTAATGTGTCAAAACGGCAAGCCTATAGAAACAAGCCTCAATAGTTAAGTCGCTTTTTTTAGTCCCCTTGTATAAAGTACAGTGTAACTTATAAGCATTCTCGTCTTATAGTTCTTTTATCCTCGCGCTTATATTCAAAATCACCAACTTTAGGCGGATGCCATCGACATAGCATGAAATGAAATAAGACGTACGTAAACATTTTTAAGGATTTGCTATGCAAAATCCTTTATATCATCATCTGTGTAACAACTTGATGTTATGTGGGTAAGATAGAAGCAACAATATGTGTAGAATAGGTGTCTTCTAATTATTTGTTCTTTCGGGCAGAAAATCCGCTTTAATAATAAAATGAACAATTTAACGACTAAACATTTCACCAAGTATGTGATCAGGGGTTGGCTGAAGGTTGGTTTTACCAATGATTTTGTTGATTTAAATTTTTAAATATATGTTCGCGTATTGCCTGAAACACAGGTATTCGATGCGTATATATGCAGTGGACTTTCACACCTATAAAATTTATAACTACATTTTGTCAAAGACGTTCAACAGAACCCTGAATTGCATCCATGCAGGGAACAAAACAATTTCTTCCGGGAGTAAACTGTAAAAAAGTTGTAGAATAAACGTAACTGAGCGCATGATGATTATGAATAAATAATTCTCTTATTTTCTTGAGATATGAAAACAAAATTGCAAATCCCTTTGCATTTCTCAATTACCTATTTTTGAATAATTTTGTTATTTATAGGACAAATTATTTCTCCACCTGGTGGTGATGAATTAACTTTTTTACTTGGATCAAATGCGACAATAGCCTGGTCCACTCGTGATCCAGATAACGTTGTTACTCGTTCTTGGACTTTCATTGGAAATAAAACGAGATTAATTGCATCAAGTGGAGTAAAAGGGGCTGGTCTTCAATATTTTGGCTCAGGCTTAGACGTTAAAATACAAGGACTAGAGACATTGGTTTTAATAAACGTTAATGAAAGTTATGATGGAATTTACCGGTTTGGTATTCTCCATCCAGTCACTGGCAGTTACGTATCTGATGTTAGAGTTATTATTCCTGGTAAGTTTCCTCGATATCAAAACTTATATCGCGGCTATAGCATTTCTCATCACGATGACGTTTTTGGGGTAGCAATTTCTTAAGAATCAACAGACCATTTGAAGAATAAATTCAGCCTAAAAATAAAGATAGTCGCCGTTACGAAGTCTTACGCTCTTGGTTTTGACCCAATGGACCCAATATTTGTCAGCGTGAGAAAGGCTAATTCAATTACTCGATCGTGTATTTCAAACTAAAATTTAACATTTGGTCAAATTTGGTATCACAGACAGTTTGAGGGCTTTTTCTTGCGAACTGTCGTCGGATCCTATTATATAAAAGCCCTGTTTACATCGTGCATTTTTTCATGCAACTTGTCTCAATCTATGCCTATTGATCAATAAATACTGAATTGCCTTAATTAAGTAATAATTAAGATATCGAACGAAATTTTTCTCCAGATTTTCTTTTCAATTGTGCATGAAAGTTTGACCGTAGCGGATTTTTAAACCATGCAACAAATCATGTGGCCTCGAATGCCCTCGATCAATTAATGGCAAAGCGTAGTAGTAAAAATAATCATATAATTTAATTTGATTGTGATAATCTTTCAAGAACTAAAATAAACATGCTAATTTTTATTATGCAATATATACTTTCGCGATGTAATTGCTATAATAATTCTGTACGATACCGTCAACTTTTCATTTTTAGTGAGACCAGTCGTGAGCTTAGACTGTTCTACTCTCATCACACTAAACGAAGGTGAAAACTTCGTCTGTTTATGCAGAAGTGAAGATGGAAAACCTCCAGCTAATGTTACCTGGTATAAAAATGAAGTCAAGTTTACTGATGTTGGAACCGAGAAACAAATATTAAATCTGATAAATGTTAGCAGCACAGACGGTGGAACATACAAGTGTGTGGCCACAAACTACCCCGATGAAAATTATACCGGCGAAAAATTCATCCAAGTAATAATCTACTGTAAGTATATGTTTACCTAACTCCCAAAAACCCAGTAAACTTCGATTTGGAAATGTGAAAATATTGCATGAGAAAGTTTATTTCAAGAGTAAACAAAAGATTGAAAAAATGACTAGAAAAACGCCTATCACACAAAAAAACATGTGTGTAGAATTACACACTAAGGTGTGTTTGACTACACACCAAGGTGTGCTCAATTGCACGCCATGGTGTGCAATTTGTGCACACCTTTCTACGCGCTTTTAGAAAACACACGTGGTGTGTAAGGGAACACACCTTTGTGTGTTCGAAAACACACCTCTGTGTGTTAGCAAATACACCTCCTTTTGCACACCTTTCCTTTTGCTCATTAAGGTGTGTAAAGTAACACGCTTTTCACTGAAAACACACCTTGGTGGGTTTGGCAGCACACCTTGACTCATCCAAGGAACACATCTTTTGGTGTGGTACACAACACACCTTTAAATTATTAACTGCATATACAATATGCTTGATTGGCCTTATTTATTACTTATAGTATTTTAGTGCGTTGATAAGAGCGTCAGCCTTATTACGAGGAATTACACAAGCCATAGGAAATTTCGCGCTGTTCCATCGCATTTAAATTTAACTTTTTGCTTTAAATTCCTCCATTATCTTTGGCTTGCGTTTCAGCTTCGAACAGTATTAAAAACTCCAAACATTACATAAGACATAAATTTAAGGGAATTTATAGATCGTTTTGGTTTACTTTTGTAAGAATGGTTAACGTGGGTTGTTTTTGAATATCTACAGACTTGTACGGTGGCCCACAAGTGCAACATCAAATATTAGAAGAAACATCAAATTAAAATGACTTATATTGAATTTAAATTCACACACCGAATTGTGCAACTTTTTACTTAAACAATTTGTGTGTTCTCCAGCACAGCTTTAGCTGTGTAATGAAACACACCACGGTGTGTGTATGAAAACACACCTTCTTTGAAAACACATCTTAGAACGTGTTAAAATTTGAACAAGCAGAAAACACATCTTTTGGGTGTTTTTTGACACACCTTTTAGTGTGTTCTACACACCTTTTGGTATGTGCACAAAAACACACCTTGCTATGTGTTAACACACCTTTGAAGATGCTATTTGCACACCTTATGGTGTGTTAAACACACCTTTAGGTGTGTTTGAGAACTTACCTTTAGGTGTGTTAAAATTTGGGCAAAAAAGGTGTACAAAATTAACACACCTTTTTTTCATGATGAGCTGAAATATATTATAGCAGGGCCGTACGGAATTAATAGTCAGTCATTTTTTGCGAAATTTTGAAATTTATTATGAATGGTTTTAATCAGGGGCGAATGTATAGTATTGTTCTATGCCGGTATTATAGGGGCAGACTTTCTTAAAATCGCTGTGTCCTCTCAATTTCTTGAGAGTATGACAAGTTTTTTTTCAGTTAAACCTATGAATACAGTCATCAAGTTCTCGAAAAACCCGGTTGTGATTAATGAGACGATAACCATAACATGTACATCTGAAGGGTTCCCTGAACCAATTTATACCTTACACCATAATGGTGAGGTTGTTAGTACTGGCATGCCGAATACCATATCCCAAGTTAAGTGGAAGAATGCCGGGAGATACAAGTGCATCGCGGCTAATACATTTGGAAAGGATTCTGATTTTAAAATTTTATCCGTTACCGAAGGTGAGTTAGCAAGGACTAAAACTAGAGCGATAATTGCCGGGAGAGGAATCATTGATATATTCTGCCTTGCCGACCTATTTCTTTTGAAAACGCATATATACGTACAAGTGAAATCCCTCGGGCAGTCTGGGGGGGGGCATATTCATATAATCCGGACGGCGGTACTCATATACGTTGCAGAATATATCAATATCCCCCCCCTCTCCAATTATATCGCCCTAGTTTCAGTCCTGGGGAGCAGGATATTTATATAAGAAGCTTAATTTGTCTTTTTATGAGTAGAAAATATGCGCCTAACGGGCTTTATCTCATCTTTAATCCCGCGACAACAGGTTTGTCTTACAGATGCATAGGCGTACGGGGCGAAGAGCAGCTTCCCCCACCCAAAAACAATTGAATTTTTTTTTATTTCATTTAGAGTAGATTGATTTATTTTAATCATAAACTATTAAATCTATTCTTTGAAAGAACGAAGACCAACAATATCAATAACAAGATCAACTTTACGCTCGTCACCAAACACAAGCGCAAAAAATCCAATCGAATGTAATAATTCAGGTACAGTATAATTTATGTATATATACACATATTTAGGACACATGTACCATCAACAAATGCATTACTGTAATAATTACTTCATGACAGGGCCTATAGCGTGCAGTTTGGTAAACTTTATCTTTGTGCAATATTGATCGTCATGTGTGCGGTATTGAATACGAATGTGTACAGTATATATACTTTTTAGAATCGAATTACAGTGAAACAAAATGGTATATCATTGTCATATCATTGGTATCTGGAATTATCATTGGAATTCTTCTTTCCTACATTGTCCCATATTCTCGTCGTAAACTTAAAAGTAGAGAACGTCAACATTCAAATCATGAACCTCCCTCACCTCAAGTTGATCAGTTAACTTATCAAGAACTGGATCTCAAAAGAATGAATGAAGAAGACAAATACCAATCTTTGACAGGGAATGCTAAAAAAAATGATGGTGTAAATAGCGATGAGTCAAATTATACTGAGTTAAACAAAACAAGAGACGTCGAAAACAACTATCAATCTTTAAGTTGAATCTCGATGTTACCTCTTCTTTTTATATGGGGGAGATAGTAAGAAAAAGTTTCTGCTTGAAAGAAATAATTGAGGAAGAAAATATTTCGCGGAGAAACATATTGTCAACTTTTATTAAAAAAGGACAACATTACTTTACACTGCATAATAGCTACTTCGACCGTATTTCAAGATTTTGGTCAGAACATGCACAATAAGATTACGACATGCACGATTTGCACTAAATCACTATCAATTATACAAGGTGTCCCCAAAACTACAGGGTGTATAGACGCAATCTTAATAATTTCCAAGGCTCTACGATCTTTTTTGTTGAAAAGAGGCGAATAAATATTCGCTATTAACATCTAGTTTAACATTCGTTAATATATAAACATTTAGTGGTATTGTATTTTTATTATAACATTATTTACAATTTACAAAATATAACGCATAACAATATTTAAATTTACAACTCAAACACATTCTCTAGCAAATTTAAAATTTTTGTTTTTAATTTTTGTAATTTTTTATTTAGTGACCGCCAAATAAAAAGCACAACCTTAAACAAAGTGCGAAATTAATGACTATATCATGGTTGCGTCGGATTTTGAATGTATAAATAGTTATTTAAAAGGTATTTTAAAAAATTTTACTATACATTTTGTTATTCAAAAATTTTTTCTTGCAGGATTTAACTCGAATCCGGAGCCAGCTCCGTTTTCGCGAACCCGCAGCAACGAGTTTTCGCGGGCTCGGGGAGCGAGATTGACCATGAGATTGAGAGTAAGAATTTTGATTTCTGACATTATCGGGAATTTTCCTACAAGGGTATCACTGTTTGCAGTTTGCACTGTCGTTTGACTCGTTTCTGACTTTCTTGTTCCATACGAACGGCTGGATTTATAACAAATATTCTTGCGGGGACTTACAAACGTAAAGAAGGAGGCTGAAAGTTCCCTGAAAATACTGTTGCGAACCAGGAAGTAAATTGATGTTATTGCATTTTTACTGAATCAATAATAGCCAAGGAAACGTTCGCTGACAGCAACAATTAGTAATTTAATTGTGCGATCCCGGTGTAAGCATTTGATGTGTAGCCAGTAATGTTGAATGATTATTCTTATGTGCATGTATGCATTGGGAAGTATACTAAAGCTTCCCTGTGTTTGAGCGCGTTTGTTTACAAATGCGGTTATCTATAGCCGTACGTATAGACTATATAGGTCAATTTCTTAACCTCAGCAAATTAATAAAGATTTTCTGGTTGTATTGAAAATAAGGAAATATTGCCGAAAGGTTTCACATCTTTATTAATGATATATTCTTATATTATTATACATATAGCTAATTCTTGCTAGTATAGTAGCATTTAGTGGCTGATTTCACGAAGTAATTTCAGCCCACGCTAAGTTTCAGCCCGGTTGATCACGCATTACCTCGTACCCAGGGTTGGTCACGCACTGAAACATCATCCCGGTTTGAGAAACTGAGTTCTTTTGTAATCGGGCCTTTACTTTAGATTATATATTTTTGGGAAGAGCCAGTAATAGCGTCTACGCACGTGAAAGTTTAAAATCATTTAAATGATACCTATGAAATCAACGCTAGAGTTTGATTCTGTTGATAATTTGTTGTGTTTTTTTCTGGCATAAAAGTAATTATGCCACAACTAAGCTTTAAATTTACATGCGTGTACGTAGGTGCAAAAAAACGCGACAATGGAAAGCACTGAGCCCTTAATAAACAATTTCGATTTCAGGAAAAATTTATTTTTTCTTTGAAATCGCCAGTTATAATTAAGTCCTGAACGCGAATTCAAAAAAAGTGAACACACATGCACTAATGAAATTTTCTTCATGTACAGGTAAATTTTCATGGCTAGATTTGGTTCAATTTTCACGATATTTGGCTTCATATTGGTGCTATGCACATGTCAAGGTACAGGAAAATGAATTTGAGTTTTTCAATTTACCTGATAGATTATTTACTGTCCAGAAATAAGTTATATATAAACTCATGCTTAAGACTCCATACTGAGTAGCCTATAGCAGTATCAGATCATGCAGATCAAGACAACAGTCAGAAACGGCAATGTCTATATACATTTATGGTAGATGCATGCACTCATGGAAATGATGTTTTAATTGTGATTGATAAGTTATAAGTGGCATTACGAATACGAACGCTACGAACACCAAACCTTGACAATATATAGTTAACGATTTACGAGCTAGTTATATAGTTACGAACAACATCGCATTATTATCTTTTTAAAATATAAACTTAGTATATATGTATATAATAAAATCGTAATCGAATCATTTTATCGAGACTTTAGGACATAATTTTACAATGAAAGCTTGTCGATAGTTTCTTTACAGTCTTTCTCGCAAGAGTTTGATCAGATTTTGTAGTTTTGCCAAGAGTTGTGTTCCCCCCATTGAACTACGATGCTGACCACCCTGAATTATTTCATTTGCTTTTAGGACAAATTATTTCTCCACCTGGTGGAGATAAATTAACTTGTTTACTTGGATCAAATGCGACAATAGCCTGGTCCACTCGTGATCCAGATAACGTAGTTGCTCGTTCTTGGACTTTCATTGGAAATAAAACGAGATTAATTGCATCGAGTGGAGTAAAAGGGGCTGGTCTTCAATATTTTAACTCAGGCTTAGACGTTAAAATACAAGGATTGGAAACATTGGTTTTAATAAACCTTAATCAAAGTTATGATGGAATTTACCGTTTTGGTATTATCCATTCAGTCGCTGGTAATGTTGTATCTGATGTTAGAGTTATTGTTGCTGGTAAGTTTCGTCGATATCAATTAGCTTTTCCTATCACGATGACGTTTTTGGGTACTTTCAATTTTCTCAAATCGGTTTAATAAATTATAACAACATGATCGATCTTGCGAACTGTCGTTGGATCCTATTATAAAATCCTTTTTACATACATCGTGCAATTTTTCATGCAATTTGTCTCAATTTATGCCTATCGATCAATAAATCATTTGCCTTAATTAAGTATTAATTTTCGATCAAACGAAATTTTTCTCCAGATTTTCTTTTCGACAGTAGTGGATTTCTAAACCATGCAACAATTAAATCATGTGGCTCCGCTCAATTGATGGCAAAGCGTAGTAATAAAAATATTCATAATTATTATTTAATTTGATTGTGATAATCTTTCACGCGAACAAAATATACTAATTTTATCATGCAGTAAATTATATACTTCCTGGATGTTATTGCATGCTATGATAATTCTGTACGATACCGTCAACCTCACCGTCAACTTCACCGTCAACTTTGCATTTTTAGTGAGACCAGTCGTGAGCTTAGACTGTTCTACTCTCATCACACTAAACGAAGGTGAAAACTTCGTCTGTCTATGCAGAAGTGAAGGTGGAAAACCTCCGGCTAATGTTACCTGGTATAAAAATGGAGACAAGTTTACTGATGTTGGAACCGAGAAACAAACATTAAATTTGATAAATGTTAGCAATGCAGACCGTGGAACATACAAGTGTGTGGCCACAAACTACCCCGATGAAAATTATACCTGCAAAAAGTTCATCCAAGTAATAATCTACTGTAAGTATATGTTTACCTAACTCCCAATAACCGGCCAATAAACTTATATATATTATAGAGGAGCCGTACGGAATTAATAGTCAGTCATGCACATATATTTTTGCGAAATTTTGAAATTTATTATGAATGGTTTGAATCAGGGGCGAATGTGTAATATTGTTCTATGCCCGTTTTTGGGGCAGACTTTATTAAAATCGCTGTGTCATCTCAATTTCATGAGTACGACAAGTTGTTTTTTTCAGTTAAACCTATGAATACAATTATCAAGTTCTCGAAAAACCCAGTTGTGATTAATGAGACGATAACCATAACATGTACATCTGAAGGGTTCCCTGAACCAATTTATACCTTATACCATAATGGTGAGGTTGTTAGTACTGGCATGCCGAATACCATATTCCAAGTTAAGTGGAAGAATGCCGGGAGATACAAGTGCATCGCGGCTAATACATTTGGAAAGGATTCTGATTTTAAAATTTTATCCGTTACCGAAGGTGAGTTAGCAAGGACTAAAACTAGAGCGATAATTGCCAAAGGAGGAATCATTGATATATTCTGCCTTGCCGACCGATTTCTTTTGAAAACGCATTTGTACGGCTATACGTTGCAGAATACATCAATATTACTCCCCCCCCCCCCAATTATACATCGTCCTAGTTTCGGTTCTGGTGAGTTGGTATTTTTGGAGTTAAAGATGATGTCGATGACAAACTAAGCAAAATTCCAGGCGTCGTGAGATATTGGGATTATTTGAAATATGTTGGGATATTTATAAGAAGCTTAATTTGTCTTTTTATGAGTAGAAAATATGCGCCGCCTAACGGACTTAATCTCATTTTTGATCCTACGACGACAGGTTTGTCTTACAGATGCATAGGCGTATACGGAGCGAGGAGCAGCTTCCCTCACCAAAAAACAATTCAGTTAATTTTCTTTTATTTCATTCAGAGTGGATTAACTATTTTAACCATAAACTTTTAAATCTATTCATTGAAAGAACGAAGACCAACAATATCAATAACAAAATCAACTTTACGCTCGTCACCAATCACAAGCGCAAAAAATCCGACCGAATGTAATAAATCAGGTACAGTATAATCCTGTATATGTATTCACATATTTAGGACACATGTACCATCAACAAATGCATTACTGTAATCATTACTTCATGACAGGACCTATTTTAGCGTGCAGTTTTGCAAACTTTACCTTTACGTGCAATATTGATCGTAAAGTGTGTAGTATTGAATACGAATGTGTGCAGTATACATACTTTTTAGAATCGAATTACAGTGAAACAAAATGGTATATCATTGTCATATCATTGATATCTGGAATTATCATTGGAATTCTTCTTTCCTACATTGTCCCATATTCTCGTCGTAAACTGAAAAGTAGAGAACGTCAACATTCAAACCATGAACCTCCGT